GTATACGACTTATGATAACTGCATGATCCGATATTCCTATCGGAGATTGAATGATAGGGTCAGTTAATAATGGTTTATCATTTACAAATAAAAAATCTAGCGTGGAAGGAATATTGTTGACTCGGAATCGTGTTGGATCTGTTGTAAGTTGTTGTAAATTAGGGCTTAGAACAAAGTTCAAAAATTTATTTTTTGAATTTACAACATCACTTGGAGTGAGAGTAACTGGCCACGAAATATCTCGTAAATTGAAATCACCAATAATAATGACATTTTCTAGTGAAGACAGATATTCAAGTTTTTCAATAAGGATTGTATCTTCAGCTAGTTGAGAGTCTCCGGGACGATAAATACAGACTAAGTAAAGAGTAATAGAGCTAGAATAAATTTTTAAACCTAATAATTCCATATTAGGGACACTAATGTCAAGAGGAGTAACAAAAAAAATGTTGTGTAATATCTGATGATAAATAAATACAGACACCTCCACCGCGACGGTCTCTTCGATCGCATCTGTATAGAGAATATTTCAAAATATCATACATAGAATCAGAATCATTTAAAGTTAACCATGTTTCTGTGATAAGAATGATCTTCGGTTTTAAATTTTGTACAGAGCATAATAATTCATTAAATTTAGAGTTGAGAGTGGAGGGACCTGGCTTGAGGACCTTTTTTTTGAGAAGTAATTTTTTTAAGTCACTAAGAGGAAGAAGGATATGATTTTGCTTGAGGACTTTTTTTTATTTTATTTTTTATAGGTGAAATGGATTTGGCATAATTCTTGCAAGGAATCTTTGGAATTAATCAAAAATAAATTGTTGCCGATTAAATTAATCGTAGATGCATCAAATATGGGAATAAGGGCCAATATATCTTATGTTTTTGAAAAAAATATTGAGAAACTTATAGCTTCTGCTTCGCGTATGTACCTTATCAAAGTCCGAAGAAAAATATTCCCAAATTGAAAGAGGGGGCATTGCAATAATTTTTGGCTTAAAAAAAATTTAGTGAATATTTATATGGACATCTTTTTATCCTAGTTACAGATCGCTTACCTCTGGTAACTATTTTTAACCCAGCTAAAGGTATACCCCAATTTTCAGCCAACAGACTACGTAGATGGGCAGTAATATTGTCAAATTACAATTATAAAATTGAATATGTAAAATCGGAGCATAATATAAAGCCGACATTTTATCACGTTTACCTATTGAAAGTCAAAATGAGAGTCAAAATGAAGAAAAATTTGACAAATATTTTTTTAAATTATGTGTTTTATGTGTTTAGGGCTCCGTTAAATATTTCGGTTTTCAAAAAGGTTCCGTCGCCAAAAAAGTTTGAGAAACACTGCTCTATAATAATATGGGATATATCCATTTAATTTACATTTTGTTATTTTCTCTAATTTTGACATATAAAGTAATATATTTTATAATCACAGCAATGTCAAAACGCAATATTTGAAAATATGATATTACGTTTATAACAACAAAAAAGAAAACAGAAAAAGAAAAGCTGTAAATTGCATTTTATTTTTTAAATAATTGAACACCGTTATTGAAAACTGCCCAGAAATGTTGGGGGTAAAATTTAGACGTACTCCTTTAAGGATAATGGATAAAAACGTTTTTTTTTTTTCAAATTTCCCGCGGATAATGACAAAAATCAGATCGGCAATACTGCACATGTCCCATTCTTATTACTAACAAAAATTTCTGAAATATTTGATTGGAAGTACCTACAAAAAAATGATAGTGAATCATTTTTCAACACAATTTTATAAATAATCAAGTCAAAATTAGAAAAAATCTTGTTACGAAATGCCGTTTTGTGTAACTCGTACATTTTGCGGGACCTCGCTCCGCTCGTCCCGCAAATATTTAAACGTTAAACAAAATAAGGCATTTCGTAAATGGTTACATACGTAGCTATTAATTAACTTCCTAATATTTTAAATCATTTAACAGTATTTTCCGTAAATAATTAAATCATAAATAATTACCGGCATATAAGTACCAAAACATTTTTTCTCTTCGAAGAGTAGGCGTACATCAAATAAACTTAAAATATTATAACGAACGAAAAGATAACCCATTTCAAATAAAAGTTAATTATTTATTTTATTTTGGTGTGATCGTAGAAAAAATCTTGTGTGTAGTTCGAGCAAAAAGTACTTTGGCTGTTTTGATAAATTTTTGTCTCAACAGCTATTTTGTTACAATAATTTTATAAACTTTTACTTAGGGTCGATTTCATCGTTTTGTTAAACGAAGTTTAAAATACTAAACGAAGATTACAATGACGTTTTTATAATAACAAAAACGAAGTTTAAATTACGAAACGGAGATTAAAATGACATTTTTACACTAACAATTTCATTTTAATCTTCGTTCAGTAATTTAAATTTAGTTTAACACAACGGTGTAATCGGCCTTTAGCTACTAGCTATACATTGATAAAGTGTTATTGTCCTCATCATAAATGAATCGTGCTAACAAATAAAGTCAAAAAAAATTTTATAATTTTTTATCTTTTAGTTACTTACCAAAATTAGGTACTACAATACAAATATTTAAGTCCGGCCCAGAACATCTCCCTACTCCTTCCACCCAGTTTTTCGGTTTTGGCAAAATTCGCGCAGCGACAAATAATGCTTCCTATGTTACCTCTACCCTTTCTAACCTCTTTGGGTACACCACATGGCATGATAAGCCAGTAGCTTCCACAAGGTACTAGTCGATCTTGCAGTACGATATCGTGTACCTTTTTAATGTTTTTGTCTGTTGTTATCTTTATGGGAGGACCACCGGCATGTTAGTTTTCACAGGATGTTCTATCGCATTTAAAATCTCGACATAGTTGTCACAGTGTCGTCATGAATTTTTTCTGGAGGTATTTTACTACGACTCTTTGTTCTTATGTTCTTATGTTTTTATGTTCTTATGTTCTTATGTTCTTATGTTCTTATGTTCTTATGTTCTTATGTTCTTATGTTCTTATGTTCTTATGTTCTTATGTTCTTATGTTCTTATGTTCTTATGTTCCTATGTTCTTAGGTTCTTATGTTCTTATGTTCTTATGTTCTTATGTTCCTATGTTCTTATGTTCTTATGTTCTTATGTTCTTATGTTCTTATGTTCTTATGTTCTTATGTTCTTATGTTCTTATGTTCTTATGTTCTTATGTTCTTATGTTCTTATGTTCTTATGTTCTTATGTTCTTATGTTCTTATGTTCTTATGTTCTTATGTTCTTATGTTCTTATGTTTTTATGTTCTTATGTTTTTATGTTCTTATGTTCTTATGTTCTTATGTTCTTATGTTCTTATGTTCTTATGTTCTTATGTTCTTATGTTCTTATGTTCTTATGTTCTTATGTTCTTATGTTCTTATGTTCTTATGTTCTTATGTTATTATGTTCTTATGTTCTTATGTTCTTATGTTCTTATGTTCTTATGTTCTTATGTTCTTATGTTCTTATGTTCTTATGTTCTTATGTTCTTATGTTCTTATGTTCTTATGTTCTTATGTTCTTATGTTCTTATGTTCTTATGTTCTTATGTTCTTATGTTCTTATGTTCTTATGTTCTTATGTTCTTATGTTCTTATGTTCTTATGTTCTTATGTTCTTATGTTCTTATGTTCTTATGTTCTTATGTTCTTATGTTCTTATGTTCTTATGTTCTTATGTTCTTATGTTCTTATGTTCTTATGTTCTTATGTTCTTATGTTCTTATGTTCTTATGTTCTCATGTTCTTATGTTCTTATGTTCGTATGTTCTTATGTTATTACGAACAATCACTACACACAGTTCAAGACTTACAGCCGTATGCACAGTCGATCGCCAGCGACTCGCCAGAGATTCATTTCGGCGTATCGCCAGCGATTCGCTGGCCATCCGCCGGTGAAGGCCCAAAAAGGTGGCGACTCGCCGGAGATTGTTAGTGGAATGTCATTTCACGCAAGTTTTCTTTTTTTTTATAGGGATTATCACCGGTATCTCTCGCATTTTATTCATGATTCATTTCTTAAAACTCAAAAAATAATAAACGAATATCAAATTTTTCCCTTTAAAAGAACATGAAAACTTGCGTGAAATGACATTCCGGTGACAGTCTCCGGCGAGTCACCAGCTTTTTGGGCTTTCGCCGGCGTATCGCCAGCGATTCGCTGGCGATCGACTATGTATACGGCTGTTAGTCTCAGCCCAACAAAGCGAGATACGAAGTTGATATTTTGTGTATTTGATCTACAAAAGTCAGGTAACTGAATATGTAAAACATTAACCAAGTTACCACTTAGAAATAGGTCAGGAGTGGGGCATAAGTATCTACCCTCGTACAATGGATTAGTTTGAGTTTTATTTTATATGTAGAAACATAAGTTAAAGATCGTGCACCACTTTATTAATTTTTAACCTCAGCCCTTTACCATACGCACACTCTACCCGACTGATGCAGTCCTTCTAATGGGATTTGATTATTTAACACTATAATGCATCAACCACACGCCAATCAAAACAAAGTGAAAACACTGAATAGTGCAGTATTTTCACTTAATCCCGGAAACATAAATTGGAAGTTTATTAAAAATCTGTTAAGTTGTTTAAATATCCTTTATAAATAAATATTTGAGATCACTTCCGACTTCATTTTAAAGAAACAAAGCAAATGTTGTTTATAAAAGTTCTGTTTATATTGTTATAAATAATAAATACTAAATTCTGTTTACTAACAAATTACGCAAATTTTTAAAGTACTCAATGTACTCAAAAATTCTTATCCTTAGCGGTATTACCCTTGGTTATACCCTGTTTAAATATTTTGATAATCGATTTAAACTATTCTTTTAAATAAAAAAAATTTTTGCGACATAAATTTGTTTTCTACCTCAATTGTTTTTGCATAATATATGAAATATTAGAAAAAAATGTGAAATTGATCGATACAAGAGATATGTATTTATCCTTTATAAATTTGCAGTAAAAAACGAGCCAGTTTACCAACTAAAAATTTTATTGCATAAAAATATATCTAAAATAACATTTAAAAACTAATTAGGAATACGCTTTTCTAACCATTGAAGAAGATGAGTAGCATCTTTAGGTCCATCATATCTTATAGCTATAGTAGTTTTAAATAATTTTACAGTTGGGTACCTAAAATAAAAATTTTGTTTAAATTTTTGATTATAATATTTTTTTATATAAGTCCAGTGTAGCAACGGAGTCGCATAGTTTATTTATGCGATATTAAAATCTTAAAAATATTGTTATGAAAACAAAAATATGATACACCAATATAATAATAATACCAATAAATATGTTTATTTTGATATCTTTTGCGTGTAACAATTATTATATAAAAATTTTTTATGCGTCTATCTAAACAAAATAACTAAAATCAAATTTAGGTCCATTGGAACCAACATAGATTATATGCATGGACCCTCATTTGTATACAAATAAAGTAGTTTTTGCAACAAGAATGGATATGGACAATATACTCGAGTTGAAGAGTATATTTTTTCTACGACCCTTTTAGATATAAAAATGGCTGTAAATTCATTAAATAATAATCGAATAACTTTTTTTTATGAGTCAGACCTTTTTTCTTCCTACTTTTGACGGTTTGCTCGAAAAAATTTAAAAAAAATGTTTTTTTCAAAAACTGTACTTTGACGACTCCTACTGGTAAACAAGTGCGAGTTACACAAAAAAACTCTCAAGCAATTTCAAAGAGCATAAAATTCCCCACAAGGTCCATCAAACCGATTTGAATTATTGTACAAGGTGGGTAAGCATTAGAAATTAAAAAAAAAAATTTTTTCATGGATTTTAAATGGTAAAACTTTAAATTTAAATAGTAGGTACTTAAAATTAATATTTAGAACTCAAACTTGGTAAGAATTTGTTTTTTCTTTATGTAGATTAATATTTTGCTTAAGCACCGAAAAAAAAAGCTTTGCGAAAATTAATCAACCTAATACGGATACGTTATTATTTCAAGTAAAATACATCCGGCAACGTCGCAAATATATGAATAGTGGGCTATCAAGTGAGTGTGTATACCTATAGAAATTTGTGACTTCTTTATACTAATTTTAAGGGTTTATTTTGGTTCAAACAGAACCGTCGATTCCAATTTTCAAGAACATGACGCGAGGTTATAACAACCTTTTAGTTGATCTAATGTAATTCAGTGAACTAGTTTCCGAAAGAACCAAAACAAGCCTAAAGTAATCTAACAAACATTTAAGTTACCTCGCGTTAAGTGTAGCGATTACAACATTGCCAAGTTGTAATCATTGTACCTCACTACGCGTCGACTGCTTTAAAAATATTTTTATTTTAAAAATCTTTATCTTTTCACCAAAACGGTCAAAAAATTCAGCGGTTTTTTAGAAAGTTTTATAACTTCTTGATTTATATTACTTTAGTTTTTCAGAAATATAGAAAGAACCGTTTTCGAGATATCTTGAATTAAATGCATCGCTTGTGTATACTTGATAGACTTCAAGAGTGTTAATTATGCACATTTTGAATGTTTATATCTCGTTTCACAAACGGTCAAAAAAATTCATTTTATTTAGTTACGTAAAAGACACTTTCATTAACCTTATATTTTAATTTTATTGAATTCTTAAGAAAAGCTGTTTTACGAGTGAACTCCTTATGACAAAATAACCAATTTTAAAATAATTGATTAGATTTATTAATTAATAAAATGAACATGATTTTATTTAATTAGTCCTCAGCTCAGATTCGATCCCGAGCTTTTCGCGTGGAAGGCAATAACTCTGTCCTCGCCTTCACCGCCACTTTTAGGATTTTGGATTTAATACGTAATTAAATTAGTTTCATATATTTTATATAAATAAACATTTCCTTGGTTTATTCGGTCTTTTTTTTTATTTTCAATTGTTTAGCATAGCACTACATATGTTTCGGAAAACTTTTTCATTTTTGGGTGTATTCATAAACTAATAAAACATGGGGATGATTACAAACAAATTAAAAAAAAATTAAAATATTTTTAAAATAACAGATATCCCATCTTTCTGTTTCATCGTGTCTTCTACTCTTCTATTCCTAATCGATACGGAGTTTAGGTTTTATTTTAGTGGCTTAGGGCCATTTAAGGGTTAACTTTGTTTTTTAAATAAAAGCATATATTTTTAAATTCATCATGTTGCTTCTTAAAAAATCATAAATAATTTTTTGTGTAAACTATTTTTTTAAATATTACCCCTGTTTTGAAATATGCGAATGTTCATAAATTTAATTTAAAAAATAAAACTACAGCGTTGTGTAAACTGCTCAGAAGTATATGCTGAGATTGTCAATAACATATTGTAATAATTGGCTTTATTATTATTTGAAAATATAAAGAATTTACTAAAAATTCTAAATAAGTATAATGTTTTAAATTAAAAATTAAAAAGGAACACACGTACGAAAATAAACCAAACAATCAGGTTATTAATCTAGTCAATGGCTACATTGAGCGTGACATTTTTAAAAATACAACCAACACGTAAATTTTGGTTTATATAGAGAGGAGACAGAAATAAAGGCTCATTATCGAGTCCGGACTAAGGTCCAGAACTGTCGCCGAGGGCGAAAGCTCTCGTTTTTAGGACACTTTAAGAACACACTAAGAGTAAAGTTTTTGTGCAGCGATTTGTGAATTATGGGTAAATATCTTTAACTTATTTTTAAAGTGTTTTGTTTGATAATAAATAATTGATTTACATATAAATGCCAATTTTACATTTTTGTCTCAAATTATCATATTTTTATATTATTATATAGTTATTTCGAGGATTAGAAAAAACGCTGGCATAAGTGTGTTATATCTGAGGGGGATTACTTTGAAGGGGACCAGATAGTTATTGATGAATAAATAAATACTTTTTGAAAAAAATTGAAAATAATGGTTATTTTTTGATCAGACCTCGTATATGAAGTAAAAAAAATACCTCTTTCTAATTAATTATAACAACCGTTAAACAATTAAAACCAAACCGAAACAGTAATAATGACATAAAATAAGTAGGTATATGAAGGTAGGTAAAGTAACATCCATCTTAATTATTTAGGTTTTAAAGCTTACTTACACCTCCTTTTAATCCAAAACAGAGTTTTTTAGTGCTGTTTATAATTGGAGAAGCAGAAGCTAGCGGTCAGAGCACGCAGCGGCTGAGGCAAAACCAGGGCCGTAACGAGCGTTCAGCGCCCCGTCCCTAAAAAATTAATGAATTCATAAATAATTTAGTTACCGGCAATGGAGGTTACAAATAAAATCCTTAGAGAAGGGAAAACATTTGGACCCAATGGGCAGCAAGAAACAGTAGGCCCAAAATAAATAAAAATACGAATAATAGTAATTCTTGCTCCGAAAAATTGTTCGGTATCAGTTTTAATCCAACTCTGAAACTCAGAAGATCTAGGTGCCTCTTAGGGCCCTAAGGAATTTTTTTGAAAAGGGTTAAGCCCGTAGACTAGGCCCAAAATCTGATTAGGTAAAAATTTTTCCTCAAAAAAAATTCGTTGGTGTCAATTTCGACCCAAGTCAAAACTTCAAGAAGTTCAAGTGACTCTTAGGAGCTTGAGGATTTTTTTTGGAAAGGGTTAAGCCCGTAGACTGGGCCTAATGTCATAAAACTTCCGAATTTTTAGATTTTTCGCTCAAACAAAATTCTTTGATGTCAGTTCCAACCCAAGTCCGGGTCTCAAGATGTTGAAGTGCCTCTAAGGGATTTGAAATTATTTTTTTTTGGAAAGGGTTAAGCCCGTAGACTGGGCCCAATGTCATAAAACTTCCGAATTTTTAGATTTTTTACTCAAACAAAATTCTTTGATGTCAGTTCCAACCCAAGTCCGGGTCTCAAGATGTTGAAGTGCCTCTGAGGGATTTGACAAATTTTTTTGGAAAGGGTTAAGCCCGTAGACTGTGCCCAATATCTTAAACTTCCAAATTTTTAGATTTTTCGCTTAAACAAAATTCTTTGATGTCAGTTCCAACCCAAGTCCGGATCTCAAGATGTTGAAGTGCCTCTGAGGGATTTGACAAATTTTTTTGGAAAGGATTAAGCCCATAGACTGTACCCAATGTTATAAAATTTCCGAATTTTTAGATTTTTCGCTCAAAAAAAATTCTATGGTGTTTGTTCCGCCGAATTCGAGGTCTCCAGAGGTTCAAGTGCCTCTGAGGAACTTGAGGAATTTTTTTGGAAAGGGTTAAGCCCGTAGACTGGGCCCAATGTCATAAAACTTTCAAATTTTGACAGTCCCTCAGAGGCACTTAAACCTCTTGAAACTTCGACTTCGGTCGGAACTTATTACGACTGGCCCTTCTTATATCAGCTTCTACTATATTTAAATGAGCCAGTCAAAGACAGTGTTCTGAAACTCAAATATTTTATAATTTGCTCTCGGCTAAAACTCAGTTTAGTACAATTTTATTGTTGTTGAACTGGAGAGTGGTCTGGGGTCTTATTCAAAGAAACAAAATATCTTAAAGCTTCCTTTATGTGCAACAGATTAAATGTCTGATTAAAATTAAACGAATATGATTTTAACAAAACCGTAAATAAACCCACGTAGTACTATGCGGTTTACAGTGCAAGGTAAATACCTTTTTAATCTAAAATTATTAATATCGATGATGATAGAGTTTATCTAGTAAAATATACTATAAAAATATGTTTGATTTATTAGTTATTATCTTGTTTTGTAGGTATTCCTGTACCCAAAAGAAATTGAATTGGAATCGCCCTGTTATACACTCGAGAGTTATAAATGGAAATTTCTTACTTGTATCCTTGCAGCATAAACGATTTTAATGGTTCAAAAGCTCCAAACTGAACCTGATTATATATGTAGAGTGTGTTGGGGTCAGCATCAAACAGCTACTAACTGGAAGGTGAGTGATGCTATGAAATATAATCCTTATTTCAATATTTCGTGCAAGAATATGCGATAGATGAGAGGTATTTGTAGATGTGGTAACTAGTCCACAATATGGTAGTTAGCAACGAATAAATGCTAGGTGGTAGTTGATAGTCGATAGTTGATATTTGATGGCCTGAAAACAGGATGAATCCAATATGTTAAAAAGTTTTTATGATGAGATGAGATCAAGGTAGCTTACCGTGAAGAAGTAGCGGCCTTCTAAAGATATTGTATGCAAATCCATTAATGTGTATAATCAGCTTTGATTAACTTTTTGTTATACAATTATCTTTGATGGAATGTCTTTTGTTTTAGGCTTTTTAAATCCGAAATAAATTGCAATTTTATTACTGAGTCCACATGGCCCAATATCAGCCAAAAAAGAGACAGAACCAGGAAGTGAGAAAAAAAGCATACTTCCTTGATCTAGGTAGGAGATTTCTGGTGATAATAATTAACCTAACCGTAGTAGGCTTTTATGTTATTATTTTTAGACAGAAGAGTATCTAATATTTTGAACAATAATGGGAAAAAGAAGAGTTCAAGTTCAAGGTCAATATTATTTGTACTTTGAAATGTAAACAATAATTTAAGTAAAATAAATAATTATTAAATATGTATTAGCATTATTTTAAACTGTATTTATTTATTTTTTTCTTTAATTTATTTTAATTTTAAAAATATCTGTTGCACAAAAGTATTGAGCCCCTAACAAACTGACATTAAAGAATTTTTTTTTGAGCGAAAAATCTCAAAATTCCGTGTTTTTATGACATTGGGCCCAGTCTACGGGCTTAACCCTTTCAAAAAAATTCCTCAAGTTCCTCAGAGTCTCTTGAAGCCTCGACTTGGGTCGGAATTGATACCAACGAATTTTTTTTGAGAAAAAATTTTTACCTAATCAGATTTTGGGCCTAGTCTACGGGCTTAACCTTTTTCAAAAAAATTCCTTAGGGCCCTAAGAGGCACCTAGATCTTTTGAGTTCCAGAGTTGGATCAAAACTGATACCGAACAATTTTTTCGGAGCAAGAATTACTATTATTCGTATTTTTATTTATTTTGGTACTACTGTTTCTTGCTGCCCATTGGGTCCAAATGTGTCCTCTTCTCTAAGGACTTTATTTGCAACCTCCATTGCCGGTAACTAAATTATTTATGAATTCATTAATTCGTTACGCCCTGGTTTTGCCTAGGCCGCTGCGTGCTCTGGCCAGCTTCATTTTATAATTGTTAATAAGTCCAAACTATATAGTTCAATGAAATGTTTATCTAGTATTATAATTCTTTATTTAAAGTTTGGATGTATTAACAAGTAATTTTTTTCATTCTTTCTTAATACTATTAGTCAAACTTTGTACTTATTGTAAATATACATTTGTTAATGTTTAAATACTTATTATCAATCTCTCCCCCCCTTTCCAAACCAGTAAAATATTTCGAACATTTGAGAAGCCTTGGCGTTTCCATTCCCTTAGGACTAAAAGAGTCTAAAACAAGTTGCCAAGGAGCGCTCGACTATACTATTAAGGGAAAAATTTTGTTTTAATTTAATTTTTTTTTTATTATTTTTATTTGCCACTGGTGAATGGAGGTTCCTTCAGGACTCCAGGACCCTTTGGCTGGGGCAGTGCTGCCCTAATCCCTTAATAGTATATTAACAACAGTAGCTAAAGACCTATCAGTAGTTACAAATGGTTTTTAGGCAAGTTGGTTGTTACATTTAGTGACAAGTGGTGGTCTTTAGGCCTCCCGGATGAAATATTTGCATTTACAGATTGAAGCAAGTCGTTAATAAAAAGTAAAAATAATAGCGGTTCCAACACAGAAAACTGAAGAACTACCAAATCAACAGGGTACCTGTTAGATGGGCTGTCCTTTACTTTAATAAACATTGTTCGGTTACTAATAAAATCTAGTTTATTTCGCCTGTTAAATGTAAGACAAGTAAAAAGATGTGAAAGATCGAAGAACAAACAAGAAAGTAACACGAAGGTCATCATAAAAAGATTCATATAGAAACATATTCAGCAACTTCACAGGTATCTGTTTGGGTCGATCTGCCCTTCCTGTTAGCTTTTTGTAACAATATAAAATTTAGACAATTGATCATCCCATTATGTATAATTTCTTAAAACATTTTGAGAAAATACTTAATATTATAAGCGACTGATAATTGGTAATAATATAAGCTGTATTTTTTTGAAAATAGCAATATATAATATGTGGGACACAAGAAATTAAAAAAAGTTATACAAACAACTTTACCTGTCAATTCCCTGTTCTGCGGCTATTGTACCTTCAACAGTCGCGTTAATTTTTGCTACTGGAACGGGAGGTTCCCTTTTTCGTAATGCATAGGCAACTTTTTCGTACTCTGGTTCGAATTGTTTACAATATTTACATTTGGGAGAGTAAAAATTCACTAAAAGATGACGATGGCTTCGTATAGTGGTTCCAAAATTTTGGGTGGTCAGTTCAATGATTTCAGGAGACCACAAAATGCCCAGAAACCTCATTTATACTGTAAAATATATACATTTAGCTGTTTGCTAATTTACAGTAGCCTGTCACATTTTTAATGTCATCAATGTTATTTAAGTTTAGCCGTTTTACAATGTGAAATTTTTTTGAAAAATTATTTTATACATAATTCAAAATGACGTCACCTTCATGTCACCTGCATAGCTTATTTACATGCCATGGAATTAGGATATTAAAGTAGATGCTAAGAGATGCGATTTTAAATCAGATACTATGTCTTCAATATGAATGACTACATTATTTATTGTAAATCAAAAACAATTACGTCATATTTAATATTGTCTTAAAATGGTCAAGTTTAACATGACTACAGGTCAGTTTATAGCTAAAGAATCAGTTCGCTCACTCTGCGTCGGCACTTTTGATCTCAATGTTCCAGTTTATACCGTGCGCAACTCGGATTTGTATCCCTGGCGCATACAGAATCAAATCATAACCAATACAATATCTAACAACCGCCCAGATTCAAACAGCAGTCTTCTGCGCATCCTGAATTTGTATCCTCTGAGTGGATGTTATTTTGTATTCTTTTTAGCAATAAACTGTGACTACAGTAAAAACGTGGTCTTATCTCTGACGTGGTCACCACAGGTATGAAATGACAAATGTAAAACTTTTACTTTTTAATTAATAAAATATTATTTGGTTATTTGTAAAATAGAAAGAAAGGCTGAGTATAGGACTACCAGATTTACGAAACGGTATTTTTATAAAATAAGCTTTCTTTGAGGAGATTAAAAAAAGGTTCTCCGCTTATGTTTTTATAATTCATCAGATTCTTTCTCTGAGGAGCTTCTCAAGAAAAAGTTTAAAAATTGTCAAAAATTTCTTTATATAACTTTGGATTTAAAAAGGGTAGCATTAAAGTGAAATAGCGGGGCATTTTCGTACTTTAGCCACAGATTAACCACAACAGATGCGAAACCCGGCAAAAGATAAGATGTTGAAATGAGATTTCTATGACCTTGGACTTTAAATGGGTATAGCATAGGTGTTGCCAACTTTAATTATTTTCAGTCTTACTATAAATAATATGACTTTCTTCTAAACATGCGTTTTGGATGCCAGGGTTGGTTTAGGTAATTATTGATTTAATGTATAGTAACAGCACGATAATGTTAAATAAGTTGTCGATAGGAGTTTTAGTTTTAACTATTTTAAAAGAAAAACAATCATTGTTTTATTATTTTCAAAATTTTATTACAGGTAAAAACTACAAGCAAAGAATTATAATGTAAAGGTTTTAAAAATTTGTTAAGCGGGCTTTAATGTGTTGAAATAAATATATTTGCAATTAATAGCGTATTGATGGGAAATTAATGGTAAATTGCAGGTCTTTTACCATATTAATACTGACTGCGGAATAAGGGCCATGTGCCAGGTACAATTCGATAGTGCTTCTTTGACCAGCAGTACTGTTTAAAGTATAAATATAAAACTGAATGCATTCCAATATACCTAGAATATCGTAGACATTTTATTTAACTCAGCGGTATAATATATAATAGAGATAAAATATCTTCTACATTCATAAAATATTCTAAATTAACAACATGTATGAGTAAGAAATTACAATGAAAAGTGAATACCAGCAATCCAAAATTGGCCTCATGTCCACTCGTTGAGTATGTAGCAAGTGATCATCCGTGTCTCCATCTATGAACACGGGACGGAACCCTACTGGACTGTTGGGAGGTTGGGTCTGCGGCAGTTAGAAGCCTTTTGACTTTTACCTTGCGCTTATCCAATCCAGTTAATTATCCTTCATATGACCCTCATCAACCAACATAATGCTGGGCCAGTATCAAAAATAAAAAAAGTAGTCTTTCATTTTTTAATCGTCTCATTTATTTTCCCTTTAATTACAGCAAAAGGCCAGCAATATCCCGGCAATTCATTGTTTGTTGGGATACAATATAAACCCATCACTAACAAGTATACCAATACAACTTTTGTAAATAATGGAGGTTTAAATACTTATTGCATACAGCCTATTAGCAGGAAATTACAATTCTATCGCCTGTAGCCACAAACCTAATAAAACAAATATTGAACAAATAGTTTGGTAGGTTGGTACTTCTGAACTTTAAAGTATAATTAGATAAAAATGCGAAACAGAATATTTATTCATGAATATTCATAAATTTGGTTTTAGTTTTATATCTATTTACAGCACTCATTAGATATTATTTAAATTACATACCTTTCTATTTTTTTTTTGGCAGATTTCTGAAATATCTGTTGCTGAATTTTATTAGGTAACATATTCGAAGATAAATAAATAACTTTAAAAAGTAGTCATAACTATAATGTTGGCAAGATTGTTTAAATCCTCGAACTGTATTAAACAAATTATACGAATTATTTCCAAGTGTGGGACAAGAAAAGTAATTTTCTATACTTTTTAAAAAATAAATATTTCAACGGATAAATGTACTGATAAAAACATTCGGTTGATGTGTTTAGACTTCCAAATATTGATTTGATATCATAAGCTTTCAAATAAATAAAAATATTGCTGCTACCTAAAACCAAAGTTGCAATATAAAAGCGTACATTTACAGCTATGAATTCGAAGACTTTTTATACGTGACTTAGATGCCACCACGACATTTCACTCATGATTTATCTACAGAAGAAGACTAGATACAAATACACAATATTTTTGTCCAAAAATGCACACAACGCAAAGCGTCATGACCGGTCCTGATTGTCCTGAATGTCACAGAAATGTCATCTCACTTACAGCACCCTAAGCAAGGTTGTCACATAAAAAAATAAAAATTTCACGCGTTCTTTAAAGTGTCATTGATTGTCATTAATAAATGTAAACTATAAACCTTTAAATGGTTTTGTATTATTCTATGTTTAGCGGATTTAAATTATGCGTTATTTGTATGTAACTAAAAAATGTATGTACAGTTTCATTTGACTTGAAGTACAGTGTCACATAACATCAGAAAAACTAGGGACATCGGCAACTTCGCATAATGAAATAACTTTTTCCTTCGGAACTGCGCGAATGGGTATGGCCACACATACTTTGATTACTATACGAGGCAAGAGAGAGGTCCAACCACTGATCTGTATTATACAGATCAGTGAGTCCGACACGCCCAACATAGGGCGCGGCCATTTTGAACCCTGTGACACAGTTTACAGCTAAAGAATCAAATCGCTCGCTCTGCGTCGGCACTTTTGATCTCAATGTTTCAGTTTATACACTGTGCAACTCGGATAATACAATATATGACAACCGCCTATAATAAAACAGCAGTCTTCTGCGTATCCTGAATTTGTATCCCTGGAGTGGATGTTATTTTGGAACTTTCAACTGGTCCGAGTGAGCTAACTGATTCTTTAGCAATAAACTGTGACTTCGAAAATAGCAAAATATCAGGTGCGTTTTAATCATACGCTTCTGCTTCCGGAATTGTCGGTTTAGTCGTTTTAACCTGTCAGATTAAAACAAGAAAACCGACAATTCCGAAGCAGAAGTGGATGATTAAAACGCACCTATTAAAAATATTGCACCAAGATGTAGGCAACACGTAATAAGGGTTCAAAATGGAGTTTTCTATCTCCTTTTAAAAGGCACTCAGAAATCTGCGCAGTGAGACCATTCTCCGTATGGTAAAAGAAAATCAAAGTATGTGGGGATGGCCCACATACTTTGATTTTCTTTCTATTGTTCAGTTAATAAAAACAGAAATATTTTGTCTTTTATTCAAAAGAAGTTTGTAAATTTTTCAAAATATATTTCCCTACCCCAAAAAAAGATTAATAAAACCAGTTAGTCATATACACATTTTCTATATATTGATAGAGGTACTTTTTAAATAACTTTTAATACATTCGAAATCTGTGGTTTTATTAAACTCAATGTAACAAATAATAATAGGTATTCTCAAAAATATTTAAAAATAAAATCAAGATGGGACTATTGTATAATTTAGTGACTATGCGCCTATGGTTAGTGCACTGCTGTATGTCCCTGGGTTTTCTACATTAGAACAATACTGCTTCTCCACTCTAGCAGTATTTTTTGCATCTCACAAGATTATATTTATTAAAAAACCAAGGAATTGTTTTGGGCCTATTGCTGTGCCCTTTTCCAACATTCCCAAAGTGTTTTTTACTTTCTGCTGGTTGGATCTCCGATAGCGACAACTCCATTTGTTGTTCCACTAGTTTTTTATCAAATTTTTAAAATAACTTCTCTTTTGCAACGACTTTACTTACCTACTTCATAATCTCTTCCTTATGTCCCAATTTCCCTAACAGGTGAGATCTTATACTCGCTCTATTAAATCAAATTATCATTATAGTTTATTTGAAAATGCATGGCACAGTTTTTATGGCAAAGGTCCATATTTTTATATAATTTTGCTATTATTCATTTCCAAATAAACTATAGGAATAGGAGTAATCTATCAGTTTTTCTAAGAACACCTTGTTACCGATGTAAGTATATCTTTCCCTAGTTTAAAAATTCGGGATCTAGACTTTCTGAGGGCTATGCTAGGTACGTACATTACTGAAAACAATTAAACAGTTGCTGTCATGTCATTGTTATTATATCAAATAGATTTATTTATAGTTTTTTTTCGTTTCTCTTATTTAATTAAAAATGTTTCTATTCATGTACAATAGCAATAAAAATATCGCGCTTAATATAAGGTAAACCAAAACTAAAACGGAATGTTTTCATAGTGGGCTGCTTTACTTTTGCGGCCTGGGGCGTAAAAGCACTTTTCAGCAGTTCATTAGAATTTTGTAGTATATTTAAAAGTTCTTCTTCTCGATTATGTTTTCTTTCTGAAAAACGGCCTTTTATGTCTCATTCGAATACAAAATAAAATTCGAAACAAAATTATGATTTGACCTTAAGAAAACTATTTTTATTGTATCCTAAGATGTAATGGCGATATATTATATATTTAGATATTTTCTGGGAAATATTAACATTGATACAATCTACATGCATTTAGGATATGATATATTATATCTAATGTAACCTGAGTTCCTTGTTCTAGCTAATTCACTTTTCAGGTAATGGTATCA